CATAGCTACCAATGACGGCAGTTAAACAGTTTCTTGTAATAAATTGTTTCTCCACCATTAGCACATTTAGCAGTGACTGAATTAGGCTAATTGACAATGCTACTAGTAGAACTAGTAGAACTAGTTCTATTAGTAGAACTAGTCCTGCCAGTTCTGATTGGTTGTTTTGGTCAGAACGGTGCATTACTTTAACCAGTAATAGTAATTCAGGAAGGAGGTGGAGGAGATTGATTGTTTTCTCAGATTATCTGTCTCATAACAAACTGCTACAACATCATGACAGCTTTAACAAATATGGAGAAAACATATTTTTATTAGTTATGTACTGCAGATGAATAAAATGCAACTACATAGCATTTTTGAGAAGTCTGGATTGCTTTATGTGTATTTTGCACGTTGCTTTTGACTGTTGCTCATGGGGAGACATTTCAGTAATCTAAAACTAATAGAAAAAATTTAAGCAACCTACTTGCATAATCGATGTTAAATTCATGAGCAGTAAATATTGTGCTAATTATCAGTATTGAACAAAAGAAAGCAAGGCAGATGCAAGCCTTTAAATTGTGACACTTTTTATGGGTCAAATAGACTCAAAATTGTAACGGCAGCTGCCCGGGGGGGCCCAAACAAATTTTTTGTCAGGGGGCCCAAGATTTCTGGCAGCATCCCTGGCGGTAGCAGAGAGCAGAAGGAGGGGAAAGGAGGATGAGCAGCGCCACGCAAGATTGCTAAGACATACCTCCTCACTCTGATTGGTTGATTTTAGTTAGCATTGGGAGGAGTCAAAGGAGCTTGACTTTTCACAGACTATGTGTCATACCGCACTGTCACTACAGTGAGTTTTGACAATATGTAAAATAATTTTTTATAAAAGTTACGTACTGCAGTTTTACCACCAACCTCACATTTTTTCAAGAAAAAAAAAAAAAAACTGCGGTAATTTTTTTTTCATATGACTATATGTTTATTCCCAGGTTTCATCAATAAATCGAGTGCTCAGGAACTTGGCCACTGACAAGCATCCAATGGGCACAGGGGCCACTGAGGGAATGTTTGACAAACTGAAGATGCTTAATGCACAGGGCTCCTGGGGAGGACGCTCAGGGTGGTACGCTGGGACCACAATCCTGAACACAGGTAAGGCATTTGTTAATACGTTGCCCCCAAAAAATAAATAAAATAGCCACAACTTAACTTTGACTGTGACGATAAGAAAATCCCATTTGGGGATTTTTGGAATGATTTATTTTTTATAACATTAGCATTAAACTCTAGTGAAGATATAATGAACACTATTTCCTATCTTATAGGGTGAATAAGTTTGAATTATTCCTTTGCTTTGTTATATTGCATCATCTGAATCAATAAGGAATGAGGCCCTCTTTTTTCTTTCTTTTTTCCACTCAGGAGGATCTGTGGTCACTAAGTGTTTAGCTGTGAATGTTTGCAAATTAGGTGACACTTTGTGTATCATCTCCAAATTTGTTAAATCTACTCATGTCAATCATGATTGTGGTGTTTATTATGCTAATGACAGAGAAACAACTTACTGTTCTAGGAAAACTGTTTATCTGCTGTCATCTGTGGCTATGCTAACTAGCATGAGCATTCATGGCAGGGTTGTTGTCAGGAAGTACAGATGAGAGCAAGGGGGCTGGAGTGAGCGACTTATATATGAGGTTAATTGACAGCACTAAGACCCTCCTCCTGGCTTCTACTGGTGTATTTGTATTGTATTTGTATTCAGTCTAGTCATGCATGAGTAGAAATAAGTTTGTTGTTGATTTCTGTCAGATCATGTGGCTGATGGCTCCATTTGCTATGTGAGGTAGGCTCATATGCTTCTGCTCCTCCTCCATCACCCAGGGAGTTAAGAGTGAAACAAAGCTACGCTACCTCCCCAATCAGCCAACAACATGTTTGTGCACGTGTTTGTGTGTGTGTTTAGGGATGGGTGTGTGTGTCCAGGAGAGGGGCATCTGCGCTCACTCATTATCATCTCCTTCTGCATCACTGATTATGACACTTAGCAATAGCTTTATTCTGTTTTGCAGCTCCTGTCTGTTGGGATAATGAATAATTAGGCTAGCAATACAAAAAACATGAGTCCTGGAGGGAGCTGCAGTCAAGCTTGTCTGCTCAGAGGTTCCATGTTGGGATCTCTACTCTGGTGTGGATTTATGTTGAAGCTAATCCATATTTCTGGGTTTGAGTAATAAATGATGTAGTGTTTTCTTATGAACTCACCAGCCACTAGCTTAGTTATTTGAGCCATAGATCGAACAATATGTTGGAAACATTCCTCTGAGATTTTCTGCTATATTAACATAACAGCATAATGATGCATAGATTTCTTGTTCGACTACAGGCGCTCCGTTGGACTAAGCCCTAATAGAAGCATGTTGTCAGTCCGTGTAATACAACTGTTTAACACAGCGTGATAAAACAAGTTATGCTACCAAATTAACATTAGTGACTCATTATATGACCCATACGCCAACATGCAGGTGAGTGGATAAATGAAGAGAAAAAATGGCCCAAAGATCATCAGCTCTTAATGAGACAAACATACATGGTGAGCAATGGCAACTCATTAGGGTTTTCCTAAAATGTAAGTTTTTATTTAGAAAGAATAATTAAAATTTTTGTTTCAAATTGCATGATTAAAATTTCTGATGTGATAATGAATTTTATTAAATATCACAATAATTTCTGCTCAAAAACATTTAGTGTGAACCAGACATTATCTTCAAACTTTGCAAAATGTCAGATGCATTAAAATGAACATTACTTTATTAACACAAGAGTCACATCAATGTAACACACTTCCAACTCACTCATGGTGCAACACAGGACATTATTAAACTCTTGGAGGTTTGACAAAATTAATAAAAAGTTAACACAACATACTGTAAGTTTATCTTTCACAAAGGCACACATTTAGGTTAAAAATCTAAAACTCGCTAAATTTATTAGATTTATTTATTTATTGGAGTAGAAGATAGAAGACACAACTAAACGTGGTGTGCCATACAAATAAACTTGAATTGACTTTCAAGAAATGTGTTGTATATGTGCTATTATATGTCATCTAAATATGTGGCATGTGTGATAACAAAAAATATTTATTTGATGTGACATTGATTAAATATGCAAGTTAATGCATTTACATTTTAGATCATCTTTGTAACATATCAAATCTTATTGAACATCTTTGTTTCTAAAAAGTAAAGCAGGCTGAGCTTCCATTTTTTGGGCAAAACTGTGAACATGATGTTTTACTTAATTCATTTTTAAAAAGAGCTATATTTTACGTTTTAGTTTAAAGTGAGGTATCCTGTATCTTACCAGATCTGACTGGAGTACAGCTTATCTCACATTTTTTTCCTGTTTTACTGATTGATTACCCAGCCATGAGCCCAATTTGTATCTGTCTTCTTCCATTCTTTCCTCCCTGCCGTTTAGGTGCAGACTGCCCTCAGACAGACGCAGCGGAAAACGACATTTCAATCAGTTCCAACGGTGACGATTCAGATGAGACTCAGATGAGGCTTCAGCTGAAAAGAAAGCTGCAGAGAAACAGAACATCCTTCACACAGGACCAGATAGAAGCACTAGAGAAAGGTACTTGGGAATGTTAACCAAAAGCTACATTTCTTTAACACATCTTGCAGAAATGACCTCAAGTCTGAAATATCAGCTGGGTTTCTGCTGTTGTTTCTCATTCACATGTAAACAAAGTTGAAAAAACCATAAGTCTCCATACGTAGAAAAAAATAAACTTTTTACATTGGACAACTGTTTTTATTTTTGTGGCACTCTGCGTAACCGCTGCACGTCTTGGACCAATTCGTGATTGATCTGCAACATTTCCAGTTTTCTGAACCTTGCAAATAAGTTTTGCCACAGTGTCGTGTGTGATGTTTTCTGTTAAAATTTCGTGCAACCATGCGACTGCTTCCCGATCCAGCCATCAGTATAATTTCAGTTCTTTGCTCTTTTGTCAAACGCATCATCTTGGGTATCTGAAATATAAAAGAAATATACATTTTACATTCTCCTATGTATGGAAACTTACAGCCCACCCTGTAGTGTTTACTCCAATACCATATTGGAGAGTGGTATTTCGTTTCCCATATGCCGTCATGCCGATGATGGGAAACTGACTCCACTTTTGTAAATTTTCTAAGTGAGATCAGATCAGATCATTTGAAGCCTCACCTAAGTCAGCTTTCTTCAACAGTGTGTTTAGCTGCAGCTTAAGTGCTTAAGACACATTTTTGGGTTGCTTGAAAAAACTAAATTAATTCATTATTTGAAAGTCATTCAAAAAATACATTTAGATAGTTAATTTATGTTTCATAATCATAAAGTTGTGCAGCAGCATGAAAGGCAGTCCTTTGCCTTTCATGTCTCCAATCAGCTGATGGAGAGGATCGGTACAGGCGGCTGTCTCAGCCAGCAGAACAGAACAGACCCATTTGTTTCTAATGCTGAAATCATCTACAACACCGACTGTAGCTAGATTAGTAATATGCTCACACTGATATCGATCTTGCCAATAATAACTTCATTTCCAAAAATCTCAACTAAATCTTTATTTCCATTAAAGTCATATAAATAGTGAAAAATGTTTGGGACTTTGGGATTAAGTTTAGTTTTGTGTACCTAAGTTTACATTTTATTCATTTCAGAATCTCATAGAGCAGATTGTTTTTATGATTAGACCCTGAAGTTGTCAGAAAGTGTTCTCGTTTTATACCATATAGTTTGAGATTTAAAACTAATCTCCATAATTTCTTTTGAAATATGTTCTTTTTTAAATATATAATTTTATTTTTTGGTTGTAGAATTTGAAAGGACTCACTATCCAGATGTTTTTGCACGTGAACGACTTGCCAATAAAATCGATCTTCCTGAGGCAAGAATTCAGGTAAGTTGCAGAAGTTGGAGTTTCTTTTAATTTTCTTTCCACTCTTAGTCAACAAGCATGTTCACACCGACAAGCAGAGGAGTCATCTAAGAAACACTTTGACTGTATAAAATTGATTAATAATAAGATTCACAAGCGTGGACCTTGTAGTATTTGTCAAATCTTTATTGAATTTTAAGGTAGACAACATTCTCATTGCTCTGATTTCAGATGTAAAACCTGAGGTTCTCTGACACAAGATGGATGGCTGATTCAGAGCTTTTACAACAAACTGCAACAAAACAAAGCATAGTTAAACTGTTCTTTTCTCTCAGAGAAGGTACAATGAGAAAGGAGTTGTCAACCGATCTTACATGACACCTAATGCACATGGAGTTGTCATCATGTAAGATAATCTTGCACCCTGCTCTATGTTGCCCTCATTGGACAACACAGTGACAGTAACAACCCTGAAGCAGGGAAAACAAGGAGACTCAGGAATCTAACGTCAAAGGATTTTTGGGAAACTTTTTCAAAGGAAACAACTTTTTGCTCTTCCAAACTAATCTGAAGACTTTTATCCTGGTGCTTTTCTGAATGGGGAAAAAAAAACATTACTCTATTTTGTGAGTAAACCTTTGACAGAAACACATTTCCTAATTGAAAAGTAGAAACTTGTGAAGGTACTTGTTGAAAATGAGCAAACAAGCAAATGTAGGTTAGAAAAACAACCTGTGAAATTTATTTTTGATCAGTTCATTTAGTCCATTTTAATACAGAAAATATCTTTTCTTAGTGGCATCAAAATTTGCACCATAAAAAGTTAACGAAAATTTTAGAACAAATTAGATTTTTTTCTGTCTTTAAGCACAATTCACTTTCATTCTAAATCATTTTCTCCAGACTCTGTAAAGTGAACTACTGTTCCATTTGCACTGGTTTACTGACTACTCCCCTCATAGACTCCCAGACATAACAGAATAGGATCAACTCTAGGTTCTTATTCTATGTTCTTTCATTTCACAGCAAACAGATACAAGCAGAGGGTCTCTCCTGGCTTCAGGGTCTTGTATAAATGGAGTTGGATGTTAGTCATGGTGAACTAGTCCTTCCACCTTGTCTAATCCTTGTTCAATTCTAGTTTTTTTGTGCTATGTGTAGGTTTGGTTTTCAAACAGACGTGCAAAGTGGAGAAGAGAGGAGAAGTTAAGGAATCAACGCCGGCAGGTGTTGAGCTCCTCCAGCCATATTCCCATCAACAGCAGCTTTAGCAGCAGTGCTTACTCATCTCCAGCTCAGCCTTCAGCACCAGGTACCAAATGAGACAAACGGTGTGTCACAGCAAACTCTCTACTGATACCGACACCAACCACAACAAGAGCAAAATGCTTCATTTCTGGTTTGTCCAACCGAATTTACTCAGTTCTTGTCTAAAGAACAGTTGACCTGTCAGTGAAGGAAGCGTTGCTATTAATAAAACCTATTAGTTAAAACTATTTAGTGACAACAATTACTAAAAACATTGTCTGCTTTGTGCTGTTTTGCTTTACTTAAGCCCAGGAAATTAACTCAATTTAAAGGTGAAATTTATGGGTTTTTCCTATTGAGTTGAGGGTATGAGGAGAGATCTACTTTAGAAAACTCTTTAACAATTTCATCTCTGATAAAGAGGAAGGCAGTCTAGTAAGCAGGGGTCTGCAGACAGACCACTAAATCCTCTCCACTCAAATTCTGAAGGATAGAGTTCAGTCCATGAGTGTGGATCTATGGGTAGGTTTGGTTGTAGGTGTTTTTCTGCATTGAGAATGCCTCTAATCATGAGTGGAAGATGCTACCAACTGATTGTTCCTTCCAGATGCAGTCACCCCATTACGATCAGCATAGCACTTTCTGTATCTTCTTCACAATCTGGTTCGTACAATCCAAGTCCAGTTTTCAGAATCTTGCTTCCAGCAGACAACGCAAATATATTTATTGCTACTCCTTAAATTGCTGGGCCACCATATTGAATGTTTAGGTTAGGGTAAGAGAGGAAGTTGTGAGGATTTGGGTTTTCACTGTGTTTATTTTGGCTTCTGTTTCCTGTGAGTCTCTGTATTGTCCTGTCATTAAATTAACTCAATTTAAAGGTGAAATTTAAATTGAGTTAATTTAAATTTACTCAATTGAAATTAAACATTTACATTTTTAATTTCAATTTTAAAAATTTAAATTACAATTTTTTAATTTAAATTTTTTAATTTTTAATTTTAGTTTCCTGTGAGTCTCTGTGTTGTCCTGTCAGCCCCTGACAGGACAACAGGTGTGTCTCGTTCCCTTGATTACCCTGGTGTGTATTTAAGTCCACCTGTTGTCTCTTGTCTAACGTCATTGTTGGTGTCAGTCGTAAGTCAGTTGTTTGTCCGTATTGTCATTAGTCTAGTCGACAGTAGAACTGTAAAGTCCTGTGTCGGCTCAGCTCTCTTCAGTCTTTACCCTGTTGCTGCCGGTGCTGAGTTATTGTTTCCACTCTGCCATGCTGCCAGTACTTGGACTGTTTGAGCTGCTATCACACTATTAAATCATCATTTTCACTTCTACCTGGGTCCTGCCTGCGTTCTCTCTCGCCACCATCACCCCCACTTCATGACGGAAGGAAAGATTTACTGTGACTTCAATCCATGTGAGAAGTGTGTTAGGAAAAGAATGGTGGGCTTTTCAGAAGTATATTTCGTGGTCAACATGACACAAAAAGTGCTTTTTAAATCGATCATTTATTTCTTTTTTATTACTGTTATTGCTAAGTTGGTCTTTACTATGCAGACAAAACATTTGATCCTTCAGTTGAATGACAAATTACTGCAGGTGTTTAGGTAACCTTGCAGCCTATTTCCATCAAATCTCTTTTTTTTTAGTTGCTAAGTTACTGTCTGCACACTAAGTACTAAGTCTGTACTTAGGTAAACACACACATGCAAACTGAAATAACAGTTTAAATTTAATTCTAATTCAAAGCAACTAAAGTTTTTCCTCTCCTTCCATTAATTTTATGCTGATGTATTCTAATTTTGGAGCTAGATTATTTTTGCTTGTCCTCTTATCCAGACTTGTCACTCAATCCCTTTTTTTCATTTCTTTCTTTCTTTCTTTCTTTCTTTCTTTCTTTCTTTCTTTCTTTCTTTCTTTCTTTCTGCTTAGTGTCCTTTTCTTCAGGGTCCATAATAGGAAGATCAGATCCGGTTCTGTCCAATACCTATGGCCTAACAATGCCAAGCTTCAGCATGGCCGCCAGCCTGCCCATGCAAGTAAGATTACCTTATATGTCATAGCAGAAGGGCACCATGTATGTGTGATGATAATCAATGGACTATGTTTTGCTTTTGTGCACCATCATCATAAATCTTTGTGATTTTACCATGTGATCTTGTGGCAGAGAGGGCGCCAGAAGATCATCGAAAAGGAAACATTGATCAGTGAAATCTGTTGTTCATTGGGCCCTCACTTTTCTTAGGGCCATTGCTGTTTTGTTAGATATCAGATATTAAAGTTGATAAAAGTAGTGGATGAATTGATAATAATATTTCATTTTTTAGGATTTACTAGCAAATATCATCAAGCTGAAGTAAATTCAATCTGATATGCTGGATCTCCACTTTTAAATCTCTTTTTAGTGTTTGAAGACGATCACAGTTCAGTCTAAAGTGCTTAAACTGCAGAAAACATGCAAACTGATCTTCACAGGAAGGTGTTGAATGGCAAATCTAATCCAAGAGTATAGGGTTGTGTGCCAAATCTCAGATTTTCTGTAAAAAAAAAACAACAAAACAACAACTACAAAAAACTCAGCAATAGAGTATTAAGTATTTGTCTAAGCACATCATGTTGACATTCAGTTCCCCAGGTTAATGCAGAATGTTCTGATTCCAGGCTTCAAACCAGACCTCTTATTCCTGCATGTTGCCCAACAGTCCTTCTGTAAACAGTCGCAGTTATCAGACGTATACTCCTCCACATATGCAGCCACACATCAGCAGCCAGTCAGTGACGTCCTCCACAACATCTTCAACAGGTAGGAACCACCACAGGTCTTAGGTCTGCCTTTGAGCCTGAAGTAAATATAATTATTACCTCCTCTTCATCACCTGTCTTGAAGTCACAGTAAGCATACGAACTACTGAAAGGAAAATAAATTGTGTGGTTTTCATTTTTTGAGATGTTGTTTATTTATTAGAACAACAACCTAATCATTAGAGAGTGAAGTTACAAGGACTCCCAGTGAGCATTCTTTTCTATCAATGCATAAAAGATTTGTACACATCCAGGCTAAAACTGGTACATGCTTGGTCTAAAAATAAAAAAATTTCAGTGTGTTTTAATTGTTGATTAGAAGCATAAATGTAAAACTGTTTTAGCCGAAATTGACACACATAAAAGCTATAATTGTAGAAAGAGCTATTCTCAAACTCAGAACATCTAGAATGGTAACTCTAGGTCTCTACAAGGTGAGCTTCACATTCACACCTCTACATCTGTGCAAATAATGCATTACATCAGAGGGATGGTTCACAAAAGTGGGATTATGAAATCCAGGATAAGAGACAAATCCAGGCTGACATAGTGCCATCAGTTCATCCTGACTTCATCTGCTTCACAAAGACCAAATCAGGCTCAGGTGCAGGTATGTCGAGCCAGGCTAAAGTAATCCAGCAGACCATCAGGTCGATCACAGATTCACTGATGCAACGCTAGATAAATTGCATACGCCAGAGAGGCACATTAGTCAACAAAACAGATGGCCCAGGCTGCTATCAAAGAAATCTGGGTTTCCATTCCACCACAGTAGAACCACAGGCTGATCGCCTCCATGGCAGGCTGCACTGATGCAGTAATTCATGGAAAAGGAGCTTAGACCTGGTACTGGGTGACTAGAAACAATCATACTTCTTAGAAGTCTGATACTGCTGTTTAAAATCTGCTTTTTATATTGATTTTAGGTGATATTAAATTTTTTGAGGCAGAATTTTGGATTTGTAGTATCTGTCAACCACAATCAACAAAGTTACAAGCAATAAAGTCTTGAAATATTTCACTTTGTGTCATGAATCTATTTAAAGCAGTGGTCTCAAACCCCGGTCCTCCTGGCCTGGTGTCCTGCAGCCTTTACATGTGTCTCTGCTTCAGCACGCCTGGCTCACTAGCAGAGCTCTGTAGAGCTCGACTGGCAGTTTCTCCATCTAAAAGAAGCGGGTCCTCGAGGAGTGCGGCTTGACACCACTGCTTTAATGTATGAGTTCCACTTTTTGAAATGAGTGACCAAAAATATTGAACTTTTTTTTTTTCTCTGTTGCATTAAATTTAAGAGCCTATTATGAATATTTCTATAAGAGTATTTTGAAAGTTGCATTAGATCACAATCCACCGTTTGCCAGTTTTTCCATAATAATGTTTATTCTTTTTTTAGGTTTGATTTCTCCTGGCATCTCAGTTCCAGTCCAAGTTCCTGGAAGTGAAGCAGAATTGTCTCAGTACTGGCCACGCCTGCAGTGACGTCATGGCTGCCTGTGGTGGCTTCAGGCACAGGACTTTGGAATCCTCAATAGGAGAGAGGTCCATCACTGTCAGACTGACTGACACCGAGCGCTGCCTGAAGCTCGGCAAAGGCAAAAAGACAAAGACCCCTTTTGTTGCTTTCCAGGAAATCCTCTGACTCTGAATGTTCTTATAAACAGAAAGAATTTGGATCCTGTTGTACAACAGAAAACTTTGTGTTATATCTGGTGGATCAGGAAGGTGGACAGCCTTTTGGTAACAGCAAGCTTTGAGAAAAAATAAAAAGTTTCAATGTACATGGACATTCCACTGAGAAACATTTTACCTCTAATGCCATTTGATAATCTTTACATGCTACTGAATTTGTAGCGAGTGTTTTCTGCCTGGATAAAAAGACCTTAATGAAACTGGAAGTGCTGTGTTTTGTTTTTTCTTTAACAGACTCCAAAAAGCCTTGACCTCAGACATGTACAGGACTTTAAAAGAAGCATTCTTGTGATATATGTTTGGTATTGTAAACCATGACATATTTGTGAACAAGCATGACTCAGATTTGAAAGCATTGGTGTCCAAAAGATGTAAACTAGTTTCTAATTTCAAGTGTGAAAGTGTTTGTCTTAAATGTTCTGAGAAGGTTTCCACAATAAAGCTAACAACTGCATTGTTGTGCATAGGTTTATATATAATGGGCAAATCCACCGTGGCTAAGTGTGCAAACTGGAGTTCAGCATCTCTTTAAGTTTGAAGACACAAAGACACATTTCCTTTAGAGCCAGGGAGGATAGCATCACGTTCTCCAGGACTGAAGCTGTTTGTCATGTATATTCCAAAAGAACGAAAGGCTTCTGGTGAAAGTTTGTGTTAAATATAACTAAAAAGGATGGGGAAATGAGCTGCTGCCATATTGCTTTTAAAATTAAAAAATAAAAACTGGCCAGGAAAGTCACACAAACCACAAGATGGTATTCATTCTCTTTTCTACTGAGCTTTGTGCAAATTATTTCTTCAATCAAATAAATTGCCCAAAATATGTTGAAAATAATGTTACTATTTCTAAGTTTTAAGTTTCATGATTGGAGTGTGTTCTAATACACTCCTTGTTAACCTACTATGCAAAGGCTATCAAGGAGAACTGAACTCTGTGCAGAAGAGTTCATTACTTCCGCTCAGCTGAACGGAGCAGGAAATCCCTGCTCTGTTCAGCTGCTGGGGAGAAATCATACTCTCACATTCATTAAGTTAAAATAGTGGGATGTAAATATGATCCATGATTAACAAATGGCTCTTTTCATTCTGACAATGCACCATGAAGTACCGTATATATTTATATAAGCCACATGTTTTAATGGGATGTGTCACTGCACCCTCTTTTTGCTTTCTGCAGCATTGCCTAAAAACTTCTAATCACTTACTGATTTCAAAACTTCACTTCTGTACTTGTGACAGAAGAAAGAAGAACTGCAAGCGGATGCTGAATGTCCCAAATTCTCTCATTGTTATGATCTTTGTTCCTACTACCATCGGCATCATTCTCTGTCTCATCTCCTGCATCTGTTCCTTCATTTTTATCATCCTCTCCTGCAGCATCATACTCACCATTCTCCTTTACATGTGGACCAGCCTGAGCATACCTGGAGCCCAGGCCATGACATCCTGTTCCCAGGTTCTCTGACAGACCAGGGTCCAGGAAGGGTCCACCCCTGTCCCACACTGCTGTTCCTGTGCTTTTCAAGGGACAACTTCTCTTCAGACTCCAGAAACTTAAGAGCTTATACCACCAGCCTTCACGTCTCCTACATGGGCTCTGCAGCCTCTGGCCCGATATTCCCATGTCCTTTGTGCGTCCCAGCAATGTCCTGATTGACATGCAGAGCTGGTTTGTGTGTTCCAGGGGACTCCTGGCCAACATCCCAAGACTTCCATTGACTTCCACTGTGGTTTCAATTCCAGCCTCCAGAGCTCCAATGACCTCCAGTTCACACTCTGTGGATCAATGGGACAACCTTCAGGTCTCCCATCCAAATTCTGTTTCTCACAACAATTCCTCAACAACTCATCCAGGTCACAGAAAAACTCAGAACAAGATGTAAAACACATCTGTTTCAGCTGATTCACTCACGCTGAGTATCATCATTGTGAGTGAATAAATAAATGGGATCCATTGGACTTGATAAAGCACTATAGAACCATTGGAAGACAAGCCTCAATATGGTAAATGTACCATACTTCCATTCTGAGGACAACTCCTCCACTGGAACTCACACTTCTTCTCAGACTAAGTTACCCGGGTTACTCAACCAATCACAAGAAGACTACTAGGCAGCTTGGTAGTTGCTGCTTATTGTTCAACAAATTAGCTGGTTAATCAAAGTTCTTGTTATTACAGAGAATTTCACAAGTACTTTAGTGGATTGTAAGCTGGTTCAGTTTACAGAATAGCAACAGAAACACAGGAGTACCTACAGAACCGTTGGTTCTGTGTTGTCCAGTACAAACTCAGATCTTACCTGTTCAGCTGAGTTTCCCTCTTAGATGAAACCACTAAAGGTGCTACAGCTGCTAATGCTTCACTTTTTTTCCTTTTAAATAAAAAGTATTCCTAGATTTGTGTTCTTGAGATTTTTGTCTGCAGATAGCCCCTCACACTTGCTGAAGCTTCCTTCTTATTCAAAGCGAGTTGTTCCTTTCACTACAAACATGCTCAATATAAGAGAGTTTCTGTAAAGTCAGTGATGTGATGCAATCAAGTGCATTCATTGCATTAAAACATTAGCAGTTTATCATAATGAGGCTAACCTGAATGCAATACAATACAACTAGAACAAAAATGTCATACTTTCACCAGAAACTAAGGAAGTGTCCAGAAACAAGCAGTTGATGCTGTGTCTGAACATCTCATACTTTAAATGTTGCTCATAGATTTAATATAATGGAAATTCAGTTGGAGGCTTTTTCAGTGTTAAAAAAAAATCTTTGTCTCATTGAATCCTTCAGCTTGTCATTTTTTTCTCCCAGCGGGCAGCGGGTGGTGATGAAATGAGAGTGGGGTCAGTCTCTCCTCATTTCCCTAACAAAAGCCCAAAAAAAGAAGAGAAAAAGAGGAGCTGATGGCTGACACAGACAGAAAAGGGAGGGCTTCCGAGACAGATAACCTGATGCTTCACTTTTTTCTCCCAGCGGGCAGCAGGAGAAGTTTCATTTTATTACATCTGACATGGTCCACATTTTGTCAGCACCTATCAATTACTGTCTGCCATGTACGGCATCACAGGAACTCTAAACATCAAAGAGCAAGAGGAGCATGATTAGTGATGGCCTACGTTCCGAACAAGATGGCTGACAACTGACGTTCTGTGAGTTGTACTGATCCAAAAAAGATACACACACAATTACAACACACATAATTGTGTCTATGTTGTGTATAGAGCCTCCACATGGTGTACCATTCATGCATTTCAGCTTTTAGCAGTAAGATCAATAGTCAATTGATTTTACTGCTTTGGTATTTTTAAACAACTTTGGAAGAGAAGTTCTGACCTCAACTTTCTAAACCAAGACTAAAATAAAATGTCATTGTTTTCCTTTCACCAGATTCATTCTGGTGAAAGGTTAAGCCATTTGCTTAACCTCTGATCATATAGATTAAACATATCACTGCTGTCAGAATCCTGATACACACAAGGACAAAATTGTTGGTCCCCTTCGGTTAATGAAAGAAAAACCCACATGGTCACAGAAATAATTTGAATCTGGCAAAGGCAATAATGAATAAAAATTCTATGAAAATGAACAAATGAAAGTCTCACCTTGCTTTGACATGTCTCTCTGGTCACGTTATTTTCAGGGACATCGTCATTTGTTGTCCAGGCTTGTTTCATGAGTTTATTTTTTTTTTATAATTCTGTAGAAGCATGTTTGATTTTCATTTGTTCATTTTTATAGAATTTTTATTCATTATTATTTTTGTCAGATTCAAATTATTTCTGTGACCATTGTGAGTTTTTCTTCTATTATGTGTAGCTCCACCCTTTGAACTTTTTTCACATTAACATTTATCATATCCACAAACTCCAGTTTATTTTATTGGGGCTTCATGTGAAAGACCAACACAAAGCACACTGGTCAGGTGGGAGGAAAATCTTTCTGAACAGACATTTTGTCCGTCTCAGCACCACGGGGAAAAGAGCCTTCTCTGGATCGCTCTCTTCCCCCTGACATCCGTAATATTGACTCTCTTCTGACCTGCAAGTACTCAAAACTCATATGTTGAAGTTAGCCTTCTCACTTTATTTTTTTTTAGTTATTTTGTGGTTTTGTGTTTTTGGTACTGCTTAATTTTGTTTTTAATGTTGAAAGGAGTTGACAAATAAAATACATTATTAATATTATTATTAGTATTGCTTATATTAGTACAGATCAGTTTTTACCCTGATACTGTTAAATCAAATCCAGTGTTAGACATCTCCTAATCAATAAACAGACTCCAGCAGTGTGTGTTCAGTTCAAAGCCATTTGTTCTTTCAAGGGTTAAGAGCTTTGTTTGTTACAGAGCATTAGTGAACAAACAGCATCATGAAGACATAGAAACACAGCAAACAGGTCGATGAGAACATTACAGAGCAGTTTGAAGCAGGATTATGTTAACATCCAAAGGTTTGAACAAGAAGAAATGTTCATCTGAAAATGGGAAGGGTTTGACTCAACTGCAAACCTACTGAAGTAGTGAAGAGCAAACTAAGCATTAACCCTAGAAGCAGTAAAGAGACCCATGGTGGCTCCAGAGGAGCTGCAGAGAGCTCCAGTTCAGACTGGAGAATCTGTAACCATTACAACCATTAGCTACGCACTGAACAAAGAAGAAACATCTAGAAATCCTTCCAGCTTACCACAATACATTTAGGAGACACTGCAAAGATATGACAAGACATTATTTCGTAATAAGAGTCTAATATTTAGTTTTTCGGCCTTTTTTTTTCAAACTTTTTTGTGTGGAGGAAAATTAACATGGTGCTGGTTAGAGTTGCCCAGCCTAACCAGCACCCTAACCTAATCGTTCTTTATTTGACTTTTAAATGTTGAATACTGTATTGAATAAACACAAGATGCAACAGCTAAACTCCTCAAACTGAGAAGTACTCCTACAATCATTGCCACAAGTGTGAGCAGTGAGGTTTTCCGATAGTTTATATTCAGAAGCAAATATTCCCAAAACCCGCTTCTACTCACAGAGAGACTGGAACATATACACTGTGCTCTTCTAGCACGTCTGCTTGTTACTGGAGTTTTCTTATGGACTGGCCAAGCTGCAACTGAACATCTTCAGTATCTATGCTAAGCTAGAATGTGTAGAATGCTCAACTATTCTACGTCCGATAGCCACTACTATCTGCCGACACCCTGCAGTGTCTTTGCTTGTAAAGCAGCTCACTCAGAGTGAAATCTTCAGAAATCCACTGCTGCAGTTAAACTAATAACAGATAACAGACTGGCACTGTTCATCCAAATATCAGTTGTGAAGCTTAACACAGAAATGTCCTATGATAGATAGTTCCTACAAGAATTCGTCCTCTGTTATTTTTTTTCTTTCGATGGTTGGCAAATAATTTGCAGCCCAGTGAGGAGGAAAATCGAGGGATACAAGTGGAATTGGTTTGGAGTATTGGTAGTATTCATATATGAGTATTCAAGTATTCATACTCATATATGAGTATGAATACTTGTTAGTATCGGGCCCAACAATACTAGTCTTTTCTTTTTTTTTTTTTTTTAAGTTTGACTAAAATAATTTGTGTTATTGTACTTGAGAATTTGGACTTGTGTAACTTTTGTTTTGCATCCATTAAAGATCTACAATTATTTTCTCTGTGATTAGACAGCTAAACACAAATACTTTTGACCATTTATATACTTCTATACACATCAGTCA